TACCCTCAGCACAGGATATGGAAATCATTACGTCCATACCTCAATCAATGATCCTAGAAATTAAATCCTATGTCGGTTGCGACGCTTGAACTAAACATGAGATAGCAATTCAAAATGTAAATTTAATAATTTATTTATTTTAATTAGGCCAAAAAGGTACGTGTGGATATAAAAATTAAAATGTCTGTCTATTAACACTAGAAAGACCGGAATTTCGAACTACCTATAAAGACCAAGTGGGGTCAAATGACACCTTCATGGGTTGTAATGTTTTATTCGTGTATTATGGTTTTAAGTTTTATTGATTAGCATCCAATAATGAATATAATAACTTAATAGTAATTAAACATCTATTTATTGATAAAAAAATAAAAAAATTAGGCACATTTTTGACATTTTAGCTCCTTGTTTACATTACAAGAGCTACACAAAGGCTTTTTCAAGAGCAGACAACTAACACAAGATTTATTGGTTTTGTTTTTGCATTTTTGTACGTAACACCGTTTCCTCTTTCCACTACGTTCTTCTAGAGGCTCTGGGGGTATGCTATTATCAGGCTGTAAAGTAGATGGTGTTATCAGGGAGTGGGTATCTTGGCGGACTAACTCCCTTGCCAAGTCAAGAATGTACTTTTTTCTACTGATTTTTTTCTGGGATAGTTTTTTGTACAAGATCCAAGAATTAATTGCTGCCAAATCCAAAATATTATAAAACACTTGCACGGGCCAACGACGAGAAGGTGCTTTGACACTATATTTTTTGGCCATTTGATCAATAACGTCTACTCCAAATTTCGTAGCATTGTAAAACTTCACCGTGTTCGGTTTCTTTTTTGCTTCTTCTGGATCAACAAATACATTAGAGTGAAGTGAACTTAGAATCCATGCAGATAAAATACCTCCTTTATAACACCTTTTTGCAAAAGAAGTTGGTCCAGCTTCCTCTGTTAGAATATTCTGTCGTGGACGACGACCAGGCTGATTCAAAACTGATAAGTTTCCAGGAGTCCAACTTATACCGGTAGAAGATACCTCGACATCAGTGTTGTGGTGAATAATTTCAGTATGTATTCTGGTACCTCGGCCACGATGCCCTCGACTCCGACCGCGACCTCGACCTCGACCTCTTCCTCTTCTTAGGTTTGCACTACGTAAAGTCGAGAGAGGTACTGAATCTGAAACAGTGGAGTAAACGCTAATATAATAAAAGATTGCCTTTTCTCTCAATATGAAAATTCTTATTTTATTTACATCAATACATAAAATAATATACACCTACCATCAGAATCGCTATGAGTGTGGTCATCATCGCTGGAAGAATCACTATTTTGTGTAATATTGTAATCGCTTTCTTCACTTCCTGAGTCTAAATGCAAAATATGCCTCTCTTCTTCAGTCGCTTCACAATCTGATTGGTCGTCCGGTAAATTTTGCAGCACTTCCAATATTTTAGAAGGCGAAAGGGAACGATAATTAGGCATTATAATTATATTATGGCGAGCCGTGATATATACGTCTTTACTTTGACAAGAACAAAACAATAAAGAAATGAAATATTTTATTTCAAGTACCCACAACAAGAGGATATTCAACGAAATAATACAAAGCACGCATACATTGGTGTCAAATGACCACTTCGGTCTTTCTAGGTAGGTGATAATTTTTAATTTGTATTTATCTAGCTATCGATATACACATATCAGAATAATGTAAACAATGACGAAATATTAAAAGTCATAAAACGACACTGACTTCATTGTTATGGTTTTGTTATTATGATTGATCAAAGACTTCATTGGGGTCATTTGACCACTCTGGCCTTTCTAGTGTTAAGAGGCCAACGGTTCCTTAGTCAAATTATTTACTTGTCCTTATGTTTCAACTCCCTTTGAGAAAATACGATTTAAAGATGATAAATTATGAACTTAACATCTATAAAATCACAATTGTGTGTACACCTAATTTAACATAACATAACATCATGCCTTTTATCCCCAAAACGGTAGGCGGAGGTGCACATTACGGTACTTAATGCCACTGTACAATGTAACACTCACTTTTCACTATTTACTTATGTTATGAGTCTCATGTGATAGGGGGTGAGTGAGATATTTCCAATTACCGTGCTACCACTGAGATTTTTTTTAAAACCCAGTAAAACTTTGCTCGATTCAGGAATAGCAGTCCATTTGGCCAACGAGGCCAACCTTATTTGACTACTCGATAAATTAATGTTTTCATTTGAAAACTATCCTATAAAAGAATTCCGTCACCAATAAGATGAAGTCACTATACGTTAAATACGTTTTATTAAAAATCTTACGAACATGAATTGTATGATTTCATTGTTTGTATAGCTGGCTCGGCTTAGAACCTGGATTCGTGATTTCTCGACAACAACAATAATAAATAAACAGCCATTGTCTATTTACTATTCACAATACTATTATGGAATCGCTGTGAGTGTGGAGTTAAGTAAAAAAATGCAGAACTAAAGACTAAAGAAAAGAAATGAGATATATGTACATATAACACATATAATACAAGTTGTTGATTTATCGCGATAACGATGAAAAATGTAACAAACAAGACTATTACAATATACGATATTATTTATACGGTATTGAAAATACCATTACAAATCGAGACAAGGAGAGGTATTTGCGTGTTAATACAAAAGAAAATCTCACTCTGAAAGATGAAGTTCTAAAAAAGGGTTGAATATAAAACAAGAAAAACTAAGATTAATAACTATCTCTTACAGAAGTTCTCTTAAATCTTAGTGTCAATTAGTGACACTTGCCGAGTGTTAGCAACTAAAGTGAATGACCTTTAAAAGCCAAACGCAAACCACAGCACACGAACAAAAGCACTTGTACAAAGGTTTCCCTAGAGGAACGAATCCTTATAAACCATTTATTATAACACCAAAAATTGTACAAAAGTCTTTCACCTTTGATTCCTTTTCCAAACTTCACACAAACTCTCAAAATTGTATTCAAGCACAGCAATTAAGCCGCTTTTTATTCGCCATCCGCCATCTTTGCTAGTCGTTAAAACTGTCAGAATTCCTTCAAGTTTGTCGGGAACCCTTCGAATGCGGTCCGCGTCCCTTATGTCACACAATTACGCAAGGGATCCCTATTTACATATATTATGCGGGGAATTTACACTGACATTATCTCGGAACCCATCTTGTCTGCTTAGTCAGTTAATAGTTAGTGTTAGGGTCTGTGTACACCGCAGGCGTTTAGCGTGGGTACATTTGTGGTGCCTTCCTATTACTGAGTGGTCGACGTGATGATGAATAGTGTGTAACCTTCGTCAGGCATCGGGTTAGCTTAGTTACGAAAAAATGGATTAGTTTCAAAAATTCGTATGTCGAAAACAATTTAGAGGCTTATACTAATTAACAAACTATGTGTGTTAGGTACTTTTGAAATGATATCTGTTTTTCTCAATAGGAGAGTATGCCTACATAATTTCGGATATATTATTTCAAATAATAATTTCAAAATACTTTGCTAGGCTTCAAAATAAAATCTTTCACCTTAACCGTAAAACAAAAACTGTGTTGAATTGCGACTATTTATTTATATCTTCTTTTGCTGTCACAACTACATAGGGGATTTGCAAAAAGTCAAAACAAATCGCTTATTATCGCAAACTTGTGGAACAACCTTTATATTTTCAAGAACAATGTACAAGAAACCATTTGAAGTTTGTGACTAGAGTGACCTTATATAACTGCTATGTACTAAGGGACAGCTGTATTAGTACATAGCTACGATAAAGTATTGATCTCCAGAGTAGACCCTTATGTTACGTCCAGAACATCACTGAAATTCCTTCAACATAGTAATGAACGTATTTTCAATATTATTCAGGAGTATTTTTGGTCCTTAATATAGGTATAGAAACAACTGAATTTATTTTTGCAAATACTAATGCTACAAGTTAGCACTTTTACACGTCAATTTTTCAAGCGAACGATGAGGCCGACATTTCCTAACTGACTACTCTGAGAAGAAATGCTGAAACAAAATTAGAAGTCTATGTGTGAGTTCCGTGCAAGTTCATGCTATAATATTTTCAAGTAATTTATAATCGGACATCGATTAACACAGGCATTCTGAATATAAGTCAGCTGATCTGAAAATCACTGAGGAAGGCCCATGTTCGGTAGTTGTATTGTGGCTGATATTACGGTGTTAATGAACCATAACTTAAAAAAAGATATAGGATAACACACGTAGTAATAATATAACTTATTAATCTTGAACTTTACTCGCATCGAGGAGATATCAGTTGCAACCTGCTTGTATTAATTGCATATCGCGCCTAAAAATACCTGTTTAATTAATGTTTATGCATTTTCCTTCCCTGTATTTGTTTATTAAGTTTATTAATAACATATTATTACAATAATTAGAAGCTTATACATAAACGTTGCAACTTTTTTTTCTAGTAAGGGTAAAATTTTTACCACTGAAAAACGGTAGCTGCGGCGCGACAGTCACTGCATCGCGGGTCGCGGAATGCTGCTCATGAATATGAACCTCTAGCATGGCTTGAAATTAGTCGAGCTCCTCGTGAAACAGTTACGGGAGTAAGCCGAAAACATAATAATAGATCTGTGAAAGATTTTTATAAGGTTGGCAACGAGCAAGAAATACCAGCAACTGTTTTTTTTATAATCAGACGGATTTGTATTATCAATGAGAATTTAATATTAACAAACGTTTCGTGTTTGTATAATAAGATACTAAAAATAGAAGCAAGCCTTCAAGAAAGGTGCGCACTCATTTTTCAAAGGCTGGCAATGCACTTTTAACACCTTTCGTGTTACAGATATCCAAATGATATACCGATTGGTTACCATCCATCCATCTAAAAAAACCAAACCGTAATTTTCTGACGTCAGCAATGACAAAAGAATAGCGTTACAATACATTGCCCACTGAAAAGTATAATCTAGGCGCGCAAGAAAATTGTCCCAAGTTCGCATTCGTAGCGGTTGTGTGTAGAATTTGCAAAATATTTGCGTGTTACCAGTCGCATGCGCAGGCCGGTACAGTACGTTTACGTTATCGTCAACGTAACCTGTTTTATTAATTTCCGATAGTAATGTTATTTAATATTTTCAACTTAGGCAGTATGCGTGTGTGGTATCTCCTGTCTTTGCTGTTTGGACACTGTGTCTGCAAAGTCTATTTCGATAAACTTGGTGAGTTTATTTTTTTAATGCTGGCTTTAAAAATAGGGATGGCAATGCCATATAAGAAAGGTTTTACATATTTATATGGCCTTCAAGTTATTTACGTGATATTTTAACGATGGTTAATTTCTTTTTTAGAGTTAGTTTGATTATTTCAGAATGTATGAAATAAAAATATTTAAGGGTTGTTTTAATTTTTTATTGGATGACTTCATCGTTTATACATATGTGTAAAAGTAGTTTATGTGATGTAAAATGTGTAAAATTTTGTAATGTTACTATATTTTTCTTCAACATAAAATGTTTCCAATTGGAAGAAGTGTACAGTTAAGGTAGATTGTTTCAGTAGTAACTTGTAGCACATCAAGCTATCGAAGTCCTTGAGTTTACAAGACTATACGTGTCCGCCGACTAAAATATTACATAAAATCACGCCTTTTTATCCCCGAACGCACTTAATGCCACTGTACAATGTAACAACCACTTTTCACTATTTATGTTATGAGTCCCATGTAATAGGGAGTGAGCCTATTGCCATATACCGGGCACAATTCCGGACTCCGTGCTACTACTACCTAAGTTTATTAAAAAATCCAGTAATACTTTACCCAACTCAGTAATCGAACCCGAGACCCCTTGCCCGACAGTCGAACTTGCGACCACTCGGCCAACGTCTACTAAAATATCATAATATTTAAATATTAAAAAATAATATGACACGAAGAACGAAATTGATACATAATTTAGTAGTCACTGCTAACTCCTTTGACAAACTGAAGATTTATGTTAATTAAGACATATATTTCCTAGAATTAACACAAATCTATTTATATAATAATGTTGAATTGTCTCCTAACAGTGGCCGACAGTGTCGTAATTACATCTGGGATGACATAGGACGACCCCTAAACTAATTTATAGGTCACTATACCTATCTTCAGCTATATTTGTAGGAGTTATAGTGGTATTTTGACCGTAATTGGTTTAATGGCAAACCATAATTGAGCTAATGATAAATAGTGATTTGTCTTTTTTTACGTAGAATATGTTCTTAGGTTTAATTTTAAAGAAAAGTTTATACGACAAATAAATAGTCTTAGCCTAATAATTAGTCGCGGAGAACCTAACGGGTAACCGGGGCTCCGGCTCGACGTGCAGGAGAAGGAACGGGGTGGTTTTTATTCAGTAAGAGTCTGACACTCCCTCTCGCCTCACCCAGGCGGGAGCAGTCATTCGATGATTTCCCCCCCTTAAAAAAAACCTAATAATTAAGAAAAGATCAATGTACCGTTAGTTAGAACTTCAACATGGTTGCAAATTAGATTCTAGTCAAAACGAAGTATTATTAAGGTTGAAGATCATCTATCGAATGTCTCAGTAGACAAGTCTTGTGATATTATATTATGTCTAACATTTAACAACAGTCTTGAACAGTTATCAGTAGCATATATTAATGAAATCTATACAGATAAATAAAATTAGAGTGTCTATTTGTAATACTGAAATAGGTAACCACTTTTTACTATATGCAGACTACATATACCAAAATAATGCTTTTTACAATTTTTGTGTGTCTAAATAAATTATTATGTTTTCGGCTTACTCATGTAATAATTTGACGAGGAACTCGAGGAAGTCGCCGCGTCGCGGATCGCGAAATGCTGCTCATGAATATGAGCCTCTAGCATGGCTTGAAACTAGTCGAGTTCTTCGTCAAATTATTACGTGAGCAAGCCGATAACATAATAATTTATTTAGTATGTCTCACGAGAGATACAATACAATTTTGTGTGTCTGTTTGTACTGGCTAATCGCTGAGATGGCAGGATTGATTTTGACGACACTTTTATTGTTAGGTAGTTAATATTCTAAGGATTAACATAGGTTTTTATGTTAGAAAAACGCAGGCGAAGTGGCAGTTTCAGCTAATCATTTAAATCTGTTATTTTAATACAATTTTCTTTGAAAACTAGCAAAAACCATAACAAAAGCTATTACTAAATAAAATTAACTAGAAAGGATGTTCACGTAATTAGATTTAGTTTGTAAAAATGTTGATAAATCCTGAAGTTACGAAAACAATTGAATTATAATAAAAACATGGGGTTTTTGATAACCTATAGACAATAGACATTACGCAATTATTACGTAAGACATTCAATATTCTAAAAAATATTAAAGATCTTTTTTATTTTACACTTATAAAACACTAGCGACCCGCCTACATGTATTATACATATAAACCTTCCTTAAGAATCACTCTATATATTAAAAAACGTATCAAAATCCGTTGCGTAGTTTTAAAGATCTAAGCATACATAGGGACAGACAGACGGCGGATAGCGACTTTGTTTTATACTATGTAGTGATATCCATTTCTTTATAATTTCTACGCACGCAAGTACTGTTAATATTTTGAGACTAGTAGAATAATCCAGATGTAATCCAAAATAATCCAAACTATTGTACACCTTATAGGTATGTTACTATGCTACTATTATTATAATATTATTGTCAACATGTAAGAAACAATAAATAAATTTGAATTTGAAGAAAATACAGATATCATTTAAAGTAAAATTTTAACAGCTTCGAAAAGTCAACGTCCACCATTTTTGATTCTGTAAAAATCCTCACTCAAAAATGATGTTTTAACTTTAATTCGGGACGAAAACGTTCTACATAAAAATCTTCAAAACAGTTGGGTAAGGGAATTGAATTAATCTAAGCTTAAGTGCGCAGGTAAGTGGGATCCCAGCATATATTAGTGACTTGTCCCTTTAGGGGAGGGAGGGCAGAAATGGTCAACAAAGTTTTGTATGAGTGGACTTGTTGTAAATGTATGTTCTCACTTTGTATTTAATTTTGATTATAGTTTTGATTGTTTAATGCTGGAATATTAATGGAATGTTACTGGAATGTTACTCAATTTTAAGACGTGCTTAAATATCGTGCCATCTCTGTCATTTTACAAAGAATTTATAGAGACAGAACTAAGCTTAAGCGCGACTTAAAATTGAGTAATGTTTCAGTATTCGGGCAAGATTTATAAAATGACTCCGACTCCTAAATATCACTAAATATAACAATTTCAATAATACTTTTAAGTATATTGTATTGCGTTTAATATTGATTTTATTGTAGGTTACTTATATTTCTTATTTCTACGAATGACATGTCAAAATGTGCTCCCTCCAAAACTTATATTGTTGCGCCCGACAGGGTTCACATTGTGTCCTAATTATATTTACCACCTAAGTAATATATGTGGAAAGCAATGAAGTATTGAGTACCTAAATGTAACTGCAGGGCATAGAGCTTGTATGAAATTTTTGGATCAAGCAAATTTATTGCGTTTTCAGTTTTTGGAAATTCAGACTCAAATTCTTCATTGCATTCATGTGTACATATGTGTTACATAAGTACATGAGTTTAGAATAAAGTAAAAATAGCGAAAATGGATGTTGAAAATACGTGTACCTCTATTTTACCGCTTCCGAAAAAGAATACCGTACACTCAGATTGTCTTGTATGTCATAACATAAGTGAATTTTGAAGTAGACACGAACAAACATTTTAAACCACACTGACAACCTTTTGAAATATAAAACGCGTGATGTTGCTATACAGAGCAGATTACCAAATCTGCCCCTCTGGGGAGGGTGGGGAAAAAATGATAAACGAAGTTTTGTCCGATATCAAAAATTCCACGATAAATATTTATGAGGGCGAGGTGTTTTATACCAACAAAACACCCTTTTATAGTCGTTCATTCAATTCGCTTGGCGATTGTTTTTCCCTTTTTAAATAGGTTATTATCGTGGCGTGTCACTCTGACCCGTTTTGTAAATTCTAATTCTTTTTTCGACGCGGCGCGATGAGGGTTCGGTGCGGCGTAATGGAGTATTTTCCGCTTAATTTTCAGCTTAATGATTTTGATACTTACTCAGCATTTTGGATGATCGTAGATTTTATTTTGGTTGTGTTTTTTTTTTATTTAGTTTTAATGCACAAGTGTGGGAGAGCCATGCTTCGGCACGAATGGGCCGGCTCGACCGGAGTGATGTGGTATCACTCCGGTCGAGAGTCTCACACAATCCCTGAATCCCCATCGATCCTCAAACTCCTAATCCCCAAAAAGCCGGTAACGCACTTGTACCGCCTCTGGTGTTCCAGGTGTCCATGGGCGACGCCGATTGCTTACCATCAAATGATCCGTCTGCTCGTTTACCAGGTTATGCCATAAAAAAAATGCATTTTTTATGATTTTTTTTTCCAAAAATCTGTTCCAGTACTGGTTTTGGACATAATCACAAGTTCTAAAGACGTGTGCAACTGTGCACAACCCATATAAGTTGTCTGTGTATACAGAGTTAAGCTAAATTGCATTACATTGTGTTCCTGATTACAATCTCAGATTGTCTTGGTACCTTGCAACACCGCTATGACGCGTACCTATAATGTGACACCTATAGTCTTCTAATGGTTACTGCAGAAAAGAGAAGCTCAGCAGTCTTTCAGTTCTTAGGTAGATAGTTTGTAGGCATTTCTTGCAGAAAAAGATTATTTATATTACTATGGCATTTAGCATTAAACACATTTTTCCTCGTTTGTCAAAATAGCAAAAAAAATTATACCTATACTAAGTAGATATTTAAAGTCAAAGCATTTAATTCAATTAATCCTTAATAAGACAATTTTGAAACGTCAAAAATAGAGTTGTCCGTCCGTCTGTCAGTGAAGCTAGGCGGTCGTTCTAAAGTGTAGTTTCGAATGGAGAAGAACGAGCAAGAAACTCTATATATAAAAGTATGGTGTACCTACATTTTTCTTATTTATCTTAGTAAACCTAAAATATTCCAGTACCTAACATCAGATTCCAAATACCTGCAATCTCAAATACCTACTTAAAAAACAAAAATCTAGTAGGTAAGCAAAGAACAATATCGAAATGTGTTTGTACAACAAACATTATAATGTAAGTAGTGTACCAGACAAGCATATCACTTACATTGGTCAATGTTGACGCTACACATGCTAGGGCGCCCACTACTTGCGCACACGAAGCGCGTGTCAAGTGTCTAAGTCACTAAGACGGTATTGTGTAAGAAATGTTAGAAGGAAGTGAATGTAAATCGATATGTTTAGTGTGGGACTTTAAGATTATTTGATTTTGTTTGTTTGTGTCGATGAATTCGTTTTAGAGAGTAATTTTCTGTTACACCCTACACCCACCAGCGTCAAAATGAAACACGAACTTTATCCGAAAATCATTTAAAAATGTACTTACAATATTTGCTCATAATTATTGTACGACGGGTCGAGGTGGCCTGGAGGTTTAAGACGCCCACTTCTCAGGCATAAGAGTGCGTGTTTGAAACCTACTAACGGCAAGTACCAATGTGACTTTTCCGAGTTATATGTACTTTCTAAGATTATTTAGACACTACTGACAAACGGTAAAGGAAAACATTGTGTGGAAACCCGTGCTTATAATTTATAATTATAAGTTTTCAAATCACCAACTCACATTGAACAAGCGTGATTAATGCTCAAACCTTCTCTGTGTGAGAAGAGGCTTTGCTCAGCAGTGGGCACTTATAGGCTGTTGATGATGATGATTGTACGTTGTATTAGTTTTGGTCTTGATAGACTTAAGATCGAGACAGTGATCTCTGAATTAATCTAAAATTTTAAGTTGTATATATTTATTCATAATATTATGTTAGTTTATATAATAACTATCGTGAGACATACTAAAATAACTAAAGTCCCGGGTTACTCAGCGAGTTACCAGTGAGCTGCGCGACGTCGCCGCGACTGCGCACGCTGCTCATGAGGAAGAACTCCTCTGTGGTTCGAAACTAGTCGAGCTTTTCTCAGTAGGTATATTCACGTGAGTAACCCGCGATTTTAGTTAATTTAATATAAATCTGTAAGTAATATTGTTTAGGTTATTTTTTTACACCTTAACGTGTATTTTTTTTAACATTCTTAAATTAAGACGTACTGGTGCTCTTGTAACCTATTTACTGAAATAAATTTTTACTCTACACTACGCAACCTACTTTCTAAAGAAGATACTACAAATACGGCATTAATATAAAAATACTCAGAATGAATATAATCATCCGTTTGTAAGCACATCCGTTTCCTATAACAAATAAGAGACGCAACAGTACGGCGATACAATGGCCCCCCTCCCTCCCTACCCCAACTACAGGAGGTTACAATATGTATACAATTTATACAGAGTGTTCGCAATCCGATAGCTCAATAGATTGTTTGTTGTAAGCGATCATTTGACCCCTTTGATAGGTGTTGTATTGTATATACTATTAGAGATTTCTTATATGTGGATGGTTTTAGTTTTTGCGAGATTCTGAGTAGGTACTCAGAACAAAAGGTAGGTGTCACTATTAGGACTTTGGGGTGGACAAAGCAGATCTAGATGCAGTGGTAATAAGATTAACTTTAATTGGTACAACAATATAATTATTGTCTATATAAGACTTTTTTGAATTCATTCTAACATACGCCTCTGTTACCTTAAAACAACAGTATCTGCCCTATTATAAAATTTAAATAAATTACAAAAAGAAACTCAACAAACAGAAAACCAATCTCCAAGTTATTAGAAGCAAATTTAACCTTCTATTCGAAATTGTTCTTTGCACGACTCCTTTTGGGACACCCTGTATACTTATACAGCGATGTTGTGTTGACATTTTTTTAATACTTTACTCATCGTTATTACCTACTTTCATTTCTTGTAGATAGCTTTCTTGGTGTGTTTGTTGTTTGTGTGTATTTCCTTATGTTAAATTTTCGTTTTTAAAAAAGGAATCTTTTTTTTTTATTAAGGAAAATTCAATTTTATTGGATGTGTATTTGACCTTTTTTGTTATGATAGCTATTACTGATATAGTAATTGCTATTCCCGAAGCAAAAAGTCGTTGATTTCCTTCGAATCACATGATATATTTTTTGAGTCTCAACAGATTTCAATATAAAGTCTTTGTAATGTGTTAATATACTCATTATTATCACGACTTCTCTCAATCGTCACGAGTCAATCCGAAACACGAACCACGAAACAATAGGTAGGTACTTAAACAAAACTTAAACAACCGATTAACCGAACCGCATCACCGCCAGTACCTATTTGCGTCAAGCATAATTTTCTTAACCCCTTTTTATATGATATAGAGAAGATCCCTCAATTTCAGAATCAAATTTTTGCTCCTCTGAAGAATGTGGTACACGTCTCGGCAATACTACGGGTGGCTTTAAGATTTTACATCTAAATGTAAGAAGTCTAGGTAAAGTTCTTAATTTTGACAAATTCATAAAATTACTAAACCAGCAATATTACCCAGAAGTTATAGTAGCCACAATAATATATCGTTCGTAATTAACAGCTTAAATTTTAACTTAAAGCCACACCGCAGGATGCTTTAATGTATGAAACAATAATAATAGTAGTAGAATAAAAGCCATTGGAAAGGGAAGAGAAAGTATACAAAACATGAAAAAATAAATGACGGGTGATCAGAGGGTCGTGAAATAAATGGGTCGTTGTTAGAAAAAAAAATCAGTTTCTCGGGAATAGCGGAAGAATTACTTATTAGGTTCTACAGAAAAAATGCCAAAGTTATAGATAGCAACCGGCTGCAACGCAACGTGTTGCGGGTTCGATTCCTGTACGGAAAAACTCTTTTTGCGTGATCCACAGATTGTTTCGGGCCTGAGTGTGATGTGTATATGAACTTGTATGTTTGTAAACGCACCCACGACACAGGATAATATCCTTGGGGCCAAGTTTAAAAAAAATAATACTAAAAAGATCTACAACATGCAATGGGTTTCATTCTACTACTATTTAACAACGTTTCCGACCGTTAATGACGATTTTCTCCGGTCTATGGTATTCGTGGGTAACATTTAGATCGTGATATGTTACTTTATCTGTTGGAAGTCAGCGCGTATTCAGCCAGCAATGTTAACCGACTAATTTAAAAAATATCGTTAATCATGTTAGATCATAATATTAGAATTCAGCCTGAAATCTTGCCATAACTGTTACTAATATTCATAACGACGTCCATCTCGATCACATAGCTTCTGAAATAGCACCATGAGATTTAACTCCTTTCCGATGCATTAGTCGGTTTCTCAATCAATGGCTTTTTTGGCACAGACAACAAAAAGGTTGAAATAAAATAGCAACTTAATTAATATAAAAAAATCTCAGTCGTTGCACGGAGTCTGGAATTGTGCCCGGTATATGGCAATAGGCTCACCCTTATTACATGGGACTCATAACATAAATAGTGAAAAGTGGGTGTTACATTGTACAGTCGCATTAAGTGCCGTAATGTGCACCTCTGACTACCCCTCCGGAGATAAAAGGCGTGATGGTATGTTATGTTAATATAATATTTATTAGATTACATAGCAACTAGGATGGCACAGCAGTGACCTCGATGCTCAGCCTCTAATTCCTACTAGAGCAGATTAACCGATAAAAAGGATAAACTTCTTCTATTTATACCACAAATACCTACCTCTAATATATACAAGAATCCAGTCACAATATAATACAGTATATAAAAGTATTCGATACAGTCGTTAACCTGCGACCTCCCTCCCTCCCTCTACTTCTATTGTCCCCAAAGCGTCTAGACAAGTTAATTTTAGTCCAGGATTAGATATCCCAAAATAAATCTCCACACTATTATTAAAGTCTTGTGTCAACTCTGAAGATATATTAAATATACGTTGAGTAATAAATAAAGTGCGGTGCTCGTGTACGAGGTTAGAAGAATGCTGTATTAATAGGTACAGTGTTGAACGGGTGATATTTTTAAATAATTGAAAGTTAAAATGAAGTAATTGCCCATAGATAAACTTTCGCTACAGCACGTCGACTTACAGATCTGGTGAATGGACCAGTCGCGCCCCTGTTGACGCACTATTAAATGCATTTTTATCAATTTTACTGCATTTCTTGACATGTGTATCGATATAAAACTAATTCAGTATATTTACATATATCAGCAGATTCGTAGCTATGAATCATTAAGCTTTGTGAGCAAAACAAAATACAATAATACTATGCCCAATTCAAAAATCAAGTTAACATGCTTCATTTTCTGATTCTACCGGCAATGAGTACCCAATAATGAACCACGGTACATTTCGGTAATCCATAAATAATGGAACAACCATTTCTGTTATTTCCAGACCGCTACATAATATCCTGTCACACGACGGACTTCGAGTGCTTCAAGCGGCAGTACAAGGCGCTGCGGGACAATGTGTTACTGGGCAACGACAGGCTGGGCATTCCCACCTATGAACATTATGTCTTTGCTTACGGAGGAGGCACCTGTGTCAAGCTGACAGGCTTAGAAGAAAGTGAATTGGCTGCCATCAAGTGAGTTGAAGAAATAATGTTGATACTCTTTTGTTTTTATGGGTTACCAGTTCCGATCCATTGGTATTGTGACATTTCTTACTCTTGAGTTGTAACACTAGCGCCCATTGCATCCGTATTGCGTGAATATTTAATGAACTAACTGGTATTGAGTTTTGCTTTCTATTCCGTACTCTGCATGCTATTTTAACAGCTACGATATAGAGACGGTTGTATAGATTTGACATTGAATAATTATTGAGATTTTATTGGATTGAAATTGCATTGACATTGAGATTGGTTTCAAGAGTAAGCACCCTGGGCTCTTGAATTCAATTCCGATAGATCGACATTGCGATTGTGAAATTTCGTAAGTTCCAACTTGAGTTGCAACACTAGCGCTTATTTCATCCATATTGCGTGGATATTTCATGAACTAAATAATATTGAGTTTGGCTTTATATTCTGAATGTTACTGAATACTCTGAATGTTACTTTGACAGCTACGATAGGGTTGTATAGTTTTGACATTGGATAATTATTGAGATTTTATTGAATTGAAATTGCATTGATATTGAGATTGGTTTCAAGAGTAAGCACCCTGATGGTAAGTAATCAGATTCGCCGTTTGTAGCACCAAATTTCAACGTGCGTTGCCAAAATGTAGTAGAGGGTGAGTGTATAGTCCCAAATTAAATAATTTAAGCCCACGTCGCGGAGAACCTAACGGGTTATCGGGGCTCCGGCTCGACGTGCAGGAGAAGAAACGGGGTGGTTTTTAGTCAGTAAGAGTCTGACACTCCCTCCCGCCTCACCCAGGCGGGAGCAGTCATTTGACGCTTTTCCCCCCTTAAAAAAATCCCACTGAAAAAGTAGTGTAAAGAAATTATTAATTTGTCATCAAAAGAATTGCATCATTTTCTACACATCCCCATAATATTATTAAATCTTTCAGATTTGAAAGCGAGCAGAAGAAATTGACGCTGGTGCTGGAACTGCCACTGAGGATCCAACAGGTCAAGGACACTATCAAAATGTGTGCCAGACCTGATCGAGGTAAGTCACATACTTGTCCAAAAAAATCCTTAATATTTGGAGTAACATAGTTTTTAAGCCTTTATTTTTCTGTAATACTATGTGTAATACTTTACACATAGTATTACAGACTTAACTTGAAAGACGTAAAGTGCATTTTACAGTACTTCTCTACTACTTTAAGACTAAAATAAAAAACATTGTCTTATCTTAAAAAATAAGTGACAATCTTATGACTGACAAAAGAAGTTCTACGAAAAGTGGAATATAATGTTGTTATTTTTAATTATTTTAGGTATCGTCAACCTTACTTTTGATTCAATTATCTACCTACCTTATATAATGTATTAAATAAATTATAAGAGAAGATAAATAAATAAACCGTATTGTCTACAAGCTGATTTCAGATGAAAGTAAAATAATAATATTGTGTTGTTAACCTATAAATATTTATTATAATTTATTTATAATAATATAATTCGGTATAAATATTTATTGTTTCAGAATTCAACATCGTTCAGCCGCAGAAGAGTGAGTTTGTTTTGATTATATGCTATTTAGAAATATATCATTCATTCAGATATCAAGAATTCAAAGATGGTTGTTCCGGGTCTGGGTGTATTGTGTATGTGAACTTGTATATGTTTGTAAATGCACCCACGACACAGGATAAAATTCTAGTGTGGGGCAACGTTTAAAAAAAAAGAAAACAATAACATTAACAAACTAACAAATAACTTGTATATGTACACAAAGCACCGCTAATTAGTTCGTAACGCTCACATCGACACTACTGTCATTTACACAATGTACATGTGTGGGTAATTTCATATTACTGTGTATAAAAATATTCGTCCACCACGTTCACATTGGTATTTTCATTCTTGTGTCGGTATACGTATTTTTATAATTTAATGCATGGGTAAGGTTAAAACTATTTACAATCATTGATATGACCCGACATTTTCACTGTAATTATCGTAGTGCTCGTGGTCGATTGGTTAATGAGTACGCTTTTATCGTCTTTCAAGGATCAATGATGATGTGGGTTCTATTCCAGCTAAAAGTTTTTTTTTATTTTACCTTGTTGTTTTTCTTATTTATTTTTTTTTTTTTTTTTGTCATATAATATAAATATCAGGCTATAAAAGAAGCAAATCAGTCGGTAAATAAAACAATACTATTTTTTATTAAAATTAATTTATTAATTATACAAATATGTGGTTTTATATTCAATATTTATATCTAATAATTAATTATATACCACATGTTAACTTTAAAGTTCTTCCAATCATTCTAAATTATTCTAAATAATAAATAACTAGAACTAAAATATAAATAAAGGATATTATAGGTATAAATAAATCTAAAGTATTTACTATTAAAATTAACATAAGATTTAGAAAAATAGGATAGGAAAAAAAGAAAAGATTTAATTGTTTCTAATTTCACATTTCAAATATTTGATTAATTAATACTAAAACAACATGTGAATGCTGGAATCGATCCGGTGGCACTTTACTTGACCACTGGAGGCGATAACCATTGCGCCAAGCGCGCCGTAGATGAGAACATCGAAATATTGTATATCATTCAGTAACATAAAAATACAATGAGAATGCACTATATTTATATAAGTATTGTATTGCTCGATCGTTCATTATTTTTGATTTCGATTTATTCAAAGTTTGTTATGAGTATTTTTATCTTTACCCTCGTTTTTATTTAAACTTATTTACTAAAATATTACGTATACCGAAACAAAAATGATATGTAATACCAAGATGTGTGTGATAGAACGAATGTTTCTATACATATTTATTAATATGAAATTACCCACACATGTTCACTGTGTAAATGATAGTAATGTCGATGTGTAGCGCCTCGAACCAATTAGCGGTGCTTTGTGTACATTGTACAATATGTACATACCTAAACAGTTTATTATAAATAAACTATTTAGTTTATTATCTCTTATTAGGTCTTTTATAAAATACGTTTAAAAAGACCGACTTCAAGCCCCTCTTTTTTTTAAGTTGTTTCTCCTAAGTTTGTAACAAACACTTTTCTGAAAACGGCATCAAAATCGGTTCAGGTAACTGCGAGATAATCGCGCACAAATATACAAGTAGAACAGAGAACCTCCTTTTTGAAGTCGGTAAAAAAAACATAACATAGATGTTCGATCACTATTTAATGTATTTTCAGGTCCTCTGATGAGATTTACTGGAAATGGTAAGTGCTGTTGATTGATACTTAACATTATTTATATCTAACATTTAAATATGTTTACTTTTAACAAACCAGTCGCAATTTGCTTTAAAACTTCTACAAACTTCACTATTTGATAATACAGTTCTAGGAATTAACAGGAATCATGAATAGAAAGAAAATATATAATCTAGTTTAATCGCTAATAGTGGCCAAACGTCGGTCTATAGAATACATAAAAAATACTATAGTTTCGAATCTTATCCACAACTATTCAACCAATCCTGCAGCTCGTACAATGCCTATATTCTACATACATACATTATACACCAATTCACAATCCTCCAGTACACGTGGACCTAAAATAATTGGTCACCACGACCGTTCAATACCGACCACAGCTCGAAGAGCTCTCTAGGGTCATTGTTAAATAACCCATTGTTTGGACCAGTCCTTCAGCCAATTTGTAAAGATTACCTCTTGATATAAGACGTGATACGAAGAGCAGTATTCGAGGGTCTACCTATAGTCATGTTGAGGTCCTTCAAAGTTACATCCTTGATCTTTTGAGGATGTTAGGGGTGTTTGATTACATGGTTTGTGGAAAAGAGCAGCTACATACAAACTTTGAGTAAAGCTCAACTAGTATACCTACCTACCTCAGTATTTTTATCAGTTTTAAATCATTAAATAAATACATCCCCTATTATTAAACTGGACTTAATCATAATCTAGCTATGCTATCCCCCAATTCGTACGTGCGCAATCTCGTTTTTTCTAGTTCCCGTTCATGATTTTTGCTAAAAAGTATTAGATAAAAGTATCCTACGTGTGTCCGTCTCCTGGTTTTAAGCTACCTCCACACAAGTTATCATCCAAATCGATTTAGCCGTTTTTGAGTTATAAATACTGTAATTAACACGACTTTTTTGTACATATGTCTAGATGTAAGTACTTCTGCTTTTGTTATATATATCTTATTTTAAGATATACTAACGACCCGCCCTGGCTTCGCACGGGTGCATTTAGAAACTTCTGATTTATCAGTGTTTCTGTTATGCATGGACCTATTATACATATAAACCTTCCTTAAGAAATCCTCTATTTATTAAAACAAAACGCATCAAAATCCGTTGCGCAGTTTTAAAGATCTAAGCATACATAGGGACAGACAGACGGCGGATAGCGACTTTGTTTTATACTATGTAGTGATGTAATATTACAACACTTTTATAAAAAAATCTTATAGATACGTACTTTTTCTTTGAGTAGAAATCGTAATATAATCAAATAGTATCTAGAAGGAGTAAATTAACTCTGTCTAATCCTATCATTATTATTGTGCATGTACAACAAAACAAGTAAATAAATAAATTACAGCTTCTAATAGAATGCGATGAACTGCGTATTTATTGAAAACTCCAACATTGAACATTTGTTTACGAAGCGACAATTATTCCAGTCGAATCGCCATTGTCAATATTTCGTTTACTCTTAATTAACAGAATCAACTATCCACACTGTCACAGAGCCAAAATTATTGGGAATGTAATGTTTTTGTTGCTAATATTTGTGTAGTATGTTATATATTGTGTGTAAATTGTCATATCAGAATTAGGCAGTACAAAATTCGATATTAATTCGTGTTTCATGATTCACTAGATTATTCAGACTATTAACTAACGTATTAGTTTTTATTATTGCAATTTTATAATAGGTATTATCAGTGTTAATAATATAAAATTAAAATTGTTATTCAGAATACATACATACATACATAACTTCACGCCTGTCTCCCATGGGGGTAGGCAGAGACTAAGGAACGCCAATTACTACGATTCTTACATACCATCTTTCGCTTCATTAACAGTCATTAATCTTTATTCAGAATCTCCTAAAATAATGTATTATAGTCATGTCTTCTGTGACAATTTTATTATTAATTCAGTGGAAATTTCAAAACACAGATAGGTTATAAAATAAGGAGTTCCTTGAGCATAATTCTGTCTGTTTATTTAGTCTACAATAGGTCTTATTACTTAGCTAAATTGTAATCAGTAAAAGAGAAAAAATATGATATATAGCTTTCATGGTCATGGTCCTCGTTATGTATCAACAGCAATGTGATTGTTTGCATTAAATCTATATTATATACCTGTTATAATAGGGTAGATGCCTAATTTTTATTTTAATGTCCGCCTGGTAGATTATTTTAAATCATTAGACATGTATTTTTTATTTTCTTACAGAAACGAATACTTTCAACGATATATTGATTTAAAATGTCGCGTGACGTCATTTCTGTGTACATTTTTTACGTAGAAATGACGTTTTGGCCTCCACTCCTAAACTTTGATTCGTTTTATCTAAGTATTGTTTTATTATACGACAAAATAAAAAAATACGTGTCTAATATCTTTTCAATACCTAACTTACGGACTAATTAGATTTTTAAGTTTCATACCCTGTCATTATCCCAGTTATATCTATTTATATAATTATCTCTGAAATATAAAAGTTAATCTTCCTTTAGTTGAATAGAATCATTACTTGCCTCTTGCACCTACCATTTACTCATCTCTGCATCACCTAGGTCAGACTGGTAAAAAATACCTTCGGTATTAAGTATATCTATGCACCTTTGTGCATGAAGCATATTAAATAAATAAATAAATGAAAATAAATCTAAGAAATCTTGCTTTCTTTTTACAGCAACTATAGGAATAACATATCCATATAAACTAAAGAAGAAGAAGGGCATGGTGTACCTGCAGCTGGAAGACGAGAACCTGGACGTGATCCTCGACATCCCGGACCTGAGCCACTTCCATCTCAACAGTGAAGTTGAAGGTTATTACAGGAATTATGTTTTATACCTACTTGTTTTTTATGGAATAAGGGGGTAAACGACGGATCACCTGATGGCAAGCAATCACCCATGAAAACCTGGAGTTACTAGTGCGTAGCCGGTCTTCTAGTGTGTGCACCACAGCTGGGGCCCAATAGGGCTGATGCCAATACGGAACCGCGGAGGATTTAACGGATTACCGGGGCTCCGACTCTTAGTGGAGGAGTAGGAAGGTGGTTTTTAGTAAGTAACAGTTTGAAACTCCTTCTCGCCTCACCCGAGCGATAGAAGTTATTGGAAGATTATCCCCCCACAAAACAAAGAGGTGTGTGCAACACAAGCGTTATATCAAGCTGGCTTTTCTGTGGAGTCGTGGTGTCTGATCGAACCGGCCCATTCCTGCCGAAAAATGATTCTCCCATTCGAAAACCTTATTTTATGTATAAATCTAAAAATAATCTGGCATTTTCATAAATTTGGATATTCAAAATTCACAAATGTAGGAAGGATGTTTACTTTCGACATCACACGGCTTCCTTCGCGTGGGATGTAGATTTTTTCTAATTTTTATATTTTATTAGTTTGGAGTTGTTGACACAGACCTTGAATTATGAGTTATTTAATAAAAGTAACAAGATTAAGTTTAATTTTTTTCTAATTATGTCTTCAGCCAAGTTGTACGAATGGTCGGAGTGGGCGTACGAGGTGGTCCAACACGTGGACGCAGCGGAGTACTTCGCACTCCCGTACACCTCCCAGCTACGGACCCTAATGGACCATCTACCTTTATACAGGTAAAACCTTTTTTTGATTCAGTTTAATTTAGACAGAATGAAAAATAAAGATACATAAGGACCCATTAGATGAAGTAGAAAATAGGAAAGTAGATAGCTATGGAAAACGACCCTAATTAGAAAAGCACATATCTTTTACCTACTTTATGAGAGAAAACAGTGTCAAATAAAGAAAGCGTTATATTGATGGATTAATGATTTATGTCGGAATACTCAAACGCTACTCAATTTTAAGTCGTGCTTAAGTATAGTTCTATCTCTACAAATTCTTTGTAAAATGACAGTGATGGCACGATATTTAAGCACGACTTAAAATTGAGTAACGTTTCAGTATTCCGGCATTAGACTCGGATTGGTTTTTGACTTTATTTCAAATGGATTTGAGGACAGAACAAACGACGTGCCAAAATATGACAGATAGACAGCGCGCTCCTTGACATCTGTTGATCTTATATAGCACAATATAGTGAGGGGGGATCACTTACTAAACTAGTGATGTTTATACATAGAACAGAAAGAATACTTATTACATCTTACAGCCATATTCTTCAAATATTTTAGGAATTTATTAGCTTAGGTATTAAAACTCTAGAAATTCAAGGTTTAATCACAAACCGCTTTACTAAACTAGGTTTACTGCGACCCTATATTTCGCAGACCTGTACCTAAAGGTCATAACTATAAAACGTTTGGCAAGCTCGATTAAAATAGATTACATTGTCTATAACAATGGCGAAGTTTTGAGGTTATCTTTGAAAGACCATTATATTATAATATCTGATCTTCTGGAGCTGATGTAACAGTGTCAGCTTACACGTGTTTTTGGAAACTGATATTCAAGATTATCGTTACAAATATATTTTTGACTGAGAGGGTAATTCATTCAATAGGTAGTTTACAAGCTGTAATAGAAAGTTTAAAGTGAAAATCTTGATAAAAACGACATATAATGGTATTATTTCAAAAGAGTCACTAAAACAAGCTATGTAGGGAGGCTTTCTAAGTATGTCAAAACGATTTTCTATTTTGTTCGTTGCATTAATTATATTAGTCAGCATTTTGTTGAATAACGTTAATTTTGTTTCAGGTTCATCATGCTTTACCCAGAAGAAGAATACGAGGACTTACAATTCTCATATTCAGAAGCAACAGTTGCTACCAATCCTTAAATTAGACAACATCTTGTTTAAAAAGTTCGAATCGTATCTGATCCAATCAAACACAATTCAATAAAATAAAATTATATTATCTATGACATAAAATATCATTTGACAGCTATCACTTTTAAACTTCGAACGTTCAAAAAAGAAAATAATTAATTGAACAACTAAAAATTAAACGTTGCCAGAAAATTAAAAGATAGAAAATTATTGTTTTTAATATTAAGTACTTTTGTAATATTTTTAACTGATATTAAAAAAAGTAAAATATTGGCCATTTTTGTAATAAAGGGAATTATAAATTGTTCGTAAGCTAATACCGTGTATTCTCTAAATTATTAAGCAGATTTAATAGGCAAAAATACTATTTACCGTTTACGATACGACCACGACACGACACAGAAAAAGTAATGGATATTTTTATTTTTACGTATAAATATGTTTTTGTATTGTGTATATGTCACTTTTACAGCAGTTACAAAATTTTGTTATTTTATTGTTAAGACGAAATAAAATTTGTATTTCTTGAACTGTAGTAAAAATTACTTACTTATGTATTTAAGTTAAACTTTTGTACTTTTATAAATTACGTTAATTCTAGTTTCAGTTTTAATTAGCAGTAAGCATTGAATTTTATTGATAAATAAATTGAAATCAAATGTTAATAATTTTTGTTTTAAGTACCGTATTTCTATATTTTGTATTTTAAACGACCTTGAAGTTGAAGTTTCTATTACTATCTTAACTATACATGCTTCTAACCTAATACCCCGTCGGTAAACAACTCTGTTAAATAACAAAAATTAAATCGTCACGACTAAAAGTCCTCAAAATTAGCCATTACAACGCCTCAACATTATAGGGCTTTCGAAAAAATAATTAAAAGTACCGTTTTAGTACCAGCGAGAGCGATAATTTATCCGGGTCACTGCTGCCGGTTAAAAAACCGGACGAGGATAAAAATTAACGGGTATTAATCCCCAGGCGAAAATTGGGGATGTTGAGGGGAATTTATAAAAACCCGTGGAATTAATACAATGTCAGTATGAATGTTGGCCCAACTCAATTATTTTTTAAATAAAGTTATTGTTGTGTAATACTTTCTTACCCTTATATTGAATAATGGGGTTGTCAATGAGTAGATTGGACTGGAACTTACCTGGAAAAATGAAAAAATAATTGTTTTAAAAATATATCTATTTAAACAAAAACTTAAATAAAATTAATACTATTACTAAATTAAATATGTACAACTTAAGATAAAAATTAATTAAAATTAAACTAAAAACAACTATTTACATAAAGCATCGAAAAATTCGTCCGCATCGATGTCAGTGGGGAAAGTACCCAGAAGGCTGGCAGCATTGCGTATATATTCATATTTGCTATTAAGATACCTCATATAATTATTTTAAACAATAACTAATGTGCAATCATCAGTATTATGTTTTACGCGGTTAAACAACGACTTGTACATTTTAAAACTTATATTTAGATATAAAAAAATATCGTATTAGACGCCATAAAAAGTTTCCGGAAATAAACCCATTACTTATTAACCCCCTTTTAACAAAAACGTGTCAAACATTTTTCCCTGAATTCCTGTAAACAGCAGGCCGCGAAAAATAACTCCATCTTATTAAAACAAACGAAACTCCATTCCTCAACTGTTTCAATAGAACAGAAGTTTGTGAACTTTCAGGAATATTTCACGAGTCTAAATGAACTGGTGAAGGTTTCCTAAATGATGTATTTCAGGCTCAAAGCCGGGGGAAAGATTTTGGTTTCGTTACAAATATATTTTTTACCATGACGCGTAGAATTGTTTAACTTGCTTTGTTCGTTATAAATTCCAGAACAACGGGAAAATCATTTGAAAGTCATCACAGTACAGCCATACAGCTACATACGATTTTGCATAGGTAGGTACAATTAATTACTGAAAACATACTCTCAAATTTTATTGCTGGTATTACTTAAAAGATTCTCGCATCTATGAAGTACTATAAAACCATTATTGTACAATAACTAAGATCGAATTCAAAAACTACACATTTGCAACAATACAACCGACAACATAGATACCTTCATATTCCAAAAACCAAAGAAAATAACAAAGCACGCAACAATAAACTCAAGCTATTAAGTTCAAGCTTCCACCCTTCAAAGGCAAGTCAAAGCATGTCACTACAAAAAATACAACGGCCTACCAACCTCCCTACCACATAATTTAGGAGGCTTCCATTCACACAAAAGCCATACACCACACAACATTAATTTGCTTCATCATTAGCCACTGAACTCTATTCATTACAGCCTACAGAAGCCTTTTGCTGGCTGAAAGAACGTTTCAGTGAGGTATGAGAGGGGGTATATGATGCTGCTATATGCTTTGAAAGTGGTGCAAGCTATGCGATGTGAGCGGGGACCGGGGACATTTTGACAGTGGAAGGAATGTAGAAAATAGTTATTGTTTTTTTTTGTGTTTTAGGAATAGTAATGTCTATAAATGTCTATATTTGTATTGTAACGAGGAACTCGACTAGTTTCAAGCCATGCTAGAGGCTCATATTCATGAGCAGCATTTCGCGACCCGCGACGCGGCGACTGACGACGGACATAATAATTTATACTAATATCTGTCTTCTTATAAAAATCACACTTAAGTATACTACGATTGTGTTTAATTTTGTGTAATAAGTGTCTAATTACTAAGTTTCGTTTAAGGAAACGTGGTTATAGTTGTTAAACCTTTGACTGCCATCAGAAAACTGAACTGAACTGTTGAAGGCTAATCCTCCACCAAACACCGGTGATCGGCGAACTACGTGGCAGTTAACGTCTTAAAAGTAATTAGTGAAAGTTATAAAATCGGAACTTCTATGATGACTTTTCGACGTTGGTTTTCGATCGTGTGATTATGGTACTCATAAATTGTTTATGTAATTTAAATTGATATATATTGTAATGTAAAATGTCTGACTCCTGTTGTTGCGGGTGTCCAATGTCCATGGGCAGCGCTGATCGCTTACCATCAGCGCTTAACATTCCATAAAAAAATCCCTATTGCAAACCTTGCCTACAGAAAAACTTTAAACAAAAAGCTAAATTCTAAAACTACAAAATTCTAACAATCTTTCCAATCCCTTCAACAACACAATCATAATATAAATTTAAATAATAACTGAGGCATTACACAACAAAGCATGAGTACCGTCACGCGTAACCAATTCACAGTTTATGTGATTTTCATTCAGAAATAATTGCCAGGCGGTCTCGATCATAAAGAGGGTACTCAATTTAAAATGTTACGTCCTCTTTGGGACTATTAAACTTCATCGAAGGCTTCTGAATAAGAATATTGTTAGTATTTCAGAATTTTAGGCTCAGAATTCAAATATCTCTTTCAAGAAACATAATTTATATTATTTCCCTTAAAAGACTGACTTGACTGCCTCGTTGGCCGAGTGGTCGCAAGTGCGACTGCCGGGCAAGAGGTCTTGGGTTCGATTACCGGGTCGGGAAAAGGATTAGTGGGTTGTTAAAAAATTCTCAGTAGTAGCACAGAGTCTGGAAGTGTGCCCGGTATATGGCAATAGGCTCACCCCCTATTACATGGGACTCATAACATAAATAGTGAAAAGGTGTTAAATTGTACAGTGGTATAATGTGCACCTCTGCCTACCTCTTCGGGGGTAAAAAGCGTGATGTTCGTAAAGTAATGTAAAGGGTACGATGGGGCTGACAAACTATGTAGGCTGACATACTAAATAGTTTGTTAGAATAAAAAAAAAACAAAAAGCGTGATGTTATGTTATATTGTTCCCTTAAAAGCTAAGTAAGTCCCATCTACCTATTATATTATTTACAGTACGATTGATAAGTTATTCTACACTAAGTCTTATGAAACAGAACTGATCTTGAGTCTATGATAAGCAGAGTCCTAATATCCTTAGAAAAATCCCTTTAATTACTCAACACAAACATCGAAAAAGATACAATCCTCGGCGGCAATTCCGATAACCATATTACAGAGACAGAAACGATAGGTATTTTACCTCAATAACTAGGCTATTCTATAACATGTGTCGTGGAGAACCCAACGGGTAATCGGGGCTCCGGCTCGTGCAGGAGAAGGAACGGGGTGGTTTTTAGTCAGTAAGAGTCTGACACTCACTCCCGCCTCACCCAGGCGGGAGCAGCCATTCGATGATTTTCCCCCCTTAAAAAAAAAAATGTATAACATGTCAATTCGAACTCCCAAAGTGAGCTCGATCACGGTCCGCCATATCGAATAATCTCGACCAATGACATGGCAAACCAATACCCTAATTGCCGTCAAAATCAAGAATTGTAATTCCATTTAAATAGTGAATATTGTAGAGCACATTTATAAACGTTTTACTTCAAAACAAAGATTGCAAGTCATTCAAAAAGAGAGTAACAATATTCTCAATTCTATGGTACTATGGCGACCGTAAAACCGTTCCACATTTACACCGATTTTATAGTTTACGATAGCACGGCACCAGATTATTTTCATTCGACAATCGTAAACGCGGCCAGAATTTTAATTGCACCCTTATCATGGGAATTTTCCATGAAATACGGTTTCTATTCAAACTTTAGGTATTTGAAAACCATCAGTTTTGGTTCTGACTGAACTGTTGTATAACTGAGGTCCGATAAGATGCTTCCAAATAGACAATCTCTTTTTGCAGTTTGTGGCTGCACTATCAGCAACTAAGTAATTGCACAGCCACATCGAGTATAGGTACGGTCAAAGGTCAAAAGTCCACCGTAAGACTACTATCGGTTGCGCTGCAGCGCTTATACACACACATGCACATGCATATTTTTATCCGTGTGCATACGCGTGCGTGTGTTTATGCGTACGCACGCGTTTTATGCACATTAATATGAAATTACCGTGAGTGAACATCACTCACGGTGGCAGTGGACTTTTGACCTTTGACAGTACATAGCCAAGCCAATAATACTTAGATAAATGACTAGAATATAATTGCAAAGTTGCAGACACATTGCCGCAGTCCCCCACTTCTGACTGAAGTAATTTCAAACAGAAGCCTAGACAAATGACGATCACATAGGAATCTTTTTATAGTCATTCACAATCGAATCTAACTACAATGCATGATGTGATAATTCAGATAATAAAGTCTATCATATATTCTGACTTATTCACACAATCATAAACATTAAAAGACATTAGGCTACTATACTCCCTTCAACGTCAATCGTTATAAAAAAATAGATTCAAAATCATACGCTCAAGTATCAATTTTGATTGTCACTTCCTCGGAAGGGTAGGATCACTCTATTTTATGGTCTGACACAAAAGATTAAGTCGGACAGTTGACTCAACAGGTGGATTTAAAGATTCGCTCACACGTCCTTTTTATACCGAATTTATAACTTTTAGAATACTCCTGGATATTCTACAATCTATTTACTAGTAGTTACTGATCTTTATTAAGTTATTTTTAAGAATTATTTTCTATTAAACATTAACCAAATATAAATATTGTTACTTTGACAAATTATTCGGATTTGCAATCTTATTATTTTGCTATTAAGTTGAATATCAAATAAAAAATAATTATCTGTCTGCTCCAAGAAACATTCCAAACCTGGTGTTAGATACTTTAATGGCAGTTTTCATCAACTACCCCTAAACCATGAACCAACCACACCTTAGCTAAGAGTTACTTAGCATAACGTAGTACCTTAACTAACCCCTTACTTTTACTGTTAGATGTCACTTTCATTTTTATAGGATAAGCCGGTAAGCGAGCAGAACGATACTTACCTGATGGTAAGCAATCGGCGTTACCCATGGACCCCGGAGTACCAGAGGCGTTACAAGTTCATTACCTTTTAGGGATTAGGAATAACACCACTTATAGGTTGGTGTAAAATGTCACCTACCTTCGCTTAGTGGATCCTTAAAATTTAGAAGAGGTTGATAAAATACGTCCTGCGTATCCGATGCTGTGAAAAGAAAGACTAAAGCACCCTGTCTGCGCACTTACTCTCTGTATAAAGGGATGAAGTTACAATGAAGTACTTCAAATTCTGTCGAGAAGCGACGCGCACTACTTCACTCTGCTAAATACTTGACTGTCTGC